ATATATATATATATATATATTACAAAACAAATAGAGTTAGAGCAAAAGAAGGAGTAGCAATAATGTTGAAGGAAAAAGCTATGGCAGGAAAAGAGGGACTACAAATGCATAAATTCAAGGATTATGTGAAGTAAAATAAAGATTGATGTGAAAAGTGGGTTATAGTAAGCGTGTATGCACCTGGAGAAGAGAGAAGTGTAGAGGAGAGAGAGAGATTCTGGGAAATGTTGAGTGAATGCGTGGGGAGTTTTGAATCAAGTGTGAGAGTAATGGTGGTTGGGGATTTCAATGCTAAAGTGGGTAAAATGTTATGGAGGGAGTAGTAGGTAAATTTGGGGTGCCAGGGGTATATGTAAATGGGGAGCCTTTAATTGAGCTATGTGTAGAAAGAAATTTGGTAATAAGTAATACATATTTTATGAAAAAGAGGATAAATAAATATACAAGGTATGATGTAGCACGTAATGAAAGTAGTTTGTTAGATTATGTATTGGTGGATAAAAGGTTGATGGGTAGGCTCCAGGATGTACATGTTTATAGAGGGGCAACTGATATATCAGATCATTATTTAGTTGTAGCTACATTTTAGAGTAAGAGGTAGATGGGGAAAAAGAGGAAGGTGGCAACAACAAGTAAGAGGGAGGTGAAAGTGTATAAACTAAGGGAGGAGGAAAGTTCGGGCGAGATATAAGCGACTATTGGCAGAAAGGTGGGCTGTGCAAAGATGAGTAGAGGGGGGGTTGAAGAGGGTTGGAATAGTTTTAAAATGCAGTATTAGAATGTGGGGCAGAAGTTTTTGGTTTATAGGAGGGTGGGGCAGGAGGAAAGAGGAGTGATTGGTGGAATGATGAAGTAAAGGGTGTGATAAAAGAGAAAAAGGTAGCTTACGAGAGGTTTTTACAAAGCAGAAGTTTTTATAAGAAGAGCAGAGTATATGGAGAGTAAAAGAAAGGTGAAGAGAGTGGTGAGAGAGTGCAAAAGGAGAGCAGATGAAAGAGTGGGAGAGGCACTGTCAAGAAATATTAATGAAAATAAGAAAAATTTTTGGAGTGAGTTAAACAAGTTAAGAAAGCCTAGGGGAAGTATGGATTTGTCCGTTAAAAACAGAGTAGGGGAGTTAGTAGATGGGGAGAGGGAGGTATTAGGTAGATGGCGAGAATATTTTGAGGAACTTTTAAATGTTGAGGAAGAAAGGGAGGCGGTAATTTCATGCACTGGCCAGGGAGGTTACCATTCTTTTAGGAGTGAAGAAGAGCAGAATGTAAGTGTGGTGGAGGTACGTGAGGCATTACGTAGAATGAAAGGGGGTTTAAAACAGCTGGAACTGATGGGGATCATGACAGAAATGTTAAAAGCAGGGGGGGATATAGTGTTGGAGTGGTTGGTACTTTTGTTTAATAAATGTATGAAAGAGGGGAAGGTACCTAGTGATTGGCGGAGAGCATGTATAGTCCCTTTATATAAAGGGAAAGGGGACAAAAGAGATTGTAAAAATTATAGAGGAATAAGTTTACTGAGTATACAGGAAAAGTATACGGTAGGGTTATAATTGAAAGAATTAGAGGTAAGACAGAATGTAGAATTGCGGATGAGCAAAGGGGGCTTCAGAGTGGGTAGGGGATGTGTAGATCAAGTGTTTACATTGAAGCATATATGTGAACAGTATTTAGATAAAGGTAGGGAAGTTTTTATTGCATTTATGGATTTAGAAAAGGCATATGATAGAGTGGATAGAGGAGCAATGTGGCAGATGTTGCAAGTTTTTTGGAGTAGGTGGTAAGTTACTAAATGCTGTAAAGAGCTTTTATGAGGATAGTGAGGCTCAGGTTAGGGTGTGTAGAAGAGAGGGAGAATACTTCCCGGTAAAAGTAGGTCTTAGACAGGGATGTGTAATGTCACCCTGGTTGTTTAATATATTTATAGATGGGGTTGTAAAAAAAGTAAATGCTAGGGTGTTCGGGAGAGGGGTTAGGATTAAATTATTGGGAATCAAATTCAAAATGGGAATTGACACAGTTACTTTTTGCTGATGATACTGTGCTTATGGGAGATTCTAAAGAAAAATTGCAAAGGTTAGTGGATGAGTTTGAGAATGTGTGTAAAGGTAGAAAGTTGAAAGTGAACATAGAAAAAGAGTAAGGTGATGAGGGTATCAAATGATTTAGATAAAGAAAAATTGGATATCAAATTGGGGAGGAGGAGTATGGAAGAAGTGAATGTTTTCAGATACTTGGGAGTTGACGTGTCGGGGGATGGATTTATGAGGATGAGGTTAATCATAGAATTGATGAGGGAAAAAGGTGAGTGGTGCGTTGAGGTATATGTGGAGTCAAAAAACGTTATCTATGGAGGCAAAGAAGGGAATGTATGAAAAGTATAGTAGTACCAACACTCTTATATGGATGTGAAGCTTGGGTGGTAAATGCAGCAGCGAGGAGACGGTTGGAGGCAGTGGAGATGTCCTGTCTAAGGGCAATGTGTGGTGTAAATATTATGCAGAAAATTCGGAGTGTGGAAATTAGGAGAAGGTGTGGAGTTATTAAAGCATTAGTCAGAGGGCAGAAGAGGGGTTGTTGAGGTGGTTTGGTCATTTAGAGAGAATGGATCAAAGTAGAATGACATGGAAAGCATATAAATCTATAGGGGAAGGAAAGAGGGGTACTGGTCGTCCTCGGAAGGGTTGGAAAGAGGGGGTAAAGGAGGTTTTGTGGGCGAAGGGCTTGGACTTCCAGCAAGCGTGCATGAGCGTGTTAGATAGGAGTGAATGGAGACGAATGATACTTGGGACCTGACGATCTGTTGGAGTGTGAGCAGGGTAATATTTAGTGAAGGGATTCAGGGAAAACCGGTTATTTTCATATAGTCGGACTTGAGTCCTGGAAATGGGAAGTACAATGCCTGCACTTTAAAGGAGTGGTTTGGGATATTGGCAGTTTGGAGGGATATGTTGTGTATCTTTATACGTATATGCTTCTAAACTGTTGTATTCTGGGCACCTCTGCAAAAGCAGTGATAATGTGTGATTGTGGTGAAAGTGTTGAATGATGATGAAAGTATTTTCTTTTTGGGGATTTTCTTTCTTTTTTGGGTCACCCTGCCTCGGTGGGAGACGACCGACTTGTTGAAAAAAAAAAAAAATATACAAAACAACCACTCTGAAAGAATAGAGAAATTCCTTGATAATGTGAGTAGTCACGAAAGCGCTTGGAATTTCTCTATTCTTTCAGAGTGGTTGTTTTGCATATTCTGAAATCACCTGTTTACTGTGATCTTATTGCATATATATATATATATATATATATATATATATATATATATATATATATATATATATATATATATTATATATTATATATATATTATAAATCTTTAAACGTATAAGAGAAAATTTTAGAAAGGACTTAATTTTAAATGAGTTCTTGCTAATTGACCAGTTTTGCCTATTCAGCATAACATTATATATATTATATAAACATTTATATATAAGTATTTATGCTCGTTTGTCCTACAAACGAACATTATCATTAAATAAAAATTCTGTGTATAATTGCAGGTGGTGATATTTATTGAGGAGACGAGGCGGCGTCTTTGTAGTCCATGAGAGATGCAACAGCTGCTGCTGCTGCTGTTGCTGTTGTTGTTGCTGTTGCTGTTGCTGCTGTTGGCTTACAGTCACTCTAAGGTAGAACATTTTATCACTACAAGTAATTTTCCTGTACGTCGTAATCAGACATGATTACCAACCATTCACGAGTATCCCCGTAGCCTCGAAAATCTAGGCGCCATGTTTGTTGTATCAGCTGATGGCTTTGTTAGTACAATGTGATGCTTATAAAAGAAATAACATAAGGGAGCAAGAGGTAATATAACCGATATACTGATAAAGACACTATATAAGAATGGGAACTTTATTAAGATTGCTGCTGCTTCTACTACTATTAATGCTAATACTGCTATTACTACTACCACTAGTACTACTACTGCTGTTGCTGCTGCTACTAATACTGCTGCTGCTGCTGCTGCTGCTGCTGCTATTACTACTACTACTACTACTACTGCTACTAATACTACTGTTGCTGCTGCTACTAATACCACTACTACTGCTGCTGCTGCTGCTGCTAATACCACTACTACTGCTGCTGCTGCTGCTACTACTACTACTACTACTACTACTACTACTACTACTACTACTACTACTACTACTACTACTACTACTACTACTACTACTACTACTGCTGCTGCTATTACTAATTAGCGATAGGTAGACGAAATGACTACGTCTACCCATCGTTTTTGTCATCTTGTCTTCCCGGTCTGTCTTCTAGTAATCTCTGCTTTTCTCTCTTAGTTTTGAGGTGACAGTGGTCCACTGGGGACCTAAACGTCACAACTTTTTCATTCGGTGATTTTCTTTAGCCACGTTATTTTGACACATTATTTCCCCTTCATCAAGGCAACGTTTCCCTTGGAGACCAAACTTTCCGAAGTCTATAAAGCGTAGATTGTAACACGGACGTTAAAATTATCTCACAGGAATGTGAGAGAGAACTCAACTCACAAGCTCAACACGACTCAGCCTCTGGACCCCGACTTAAATTAAATTCAGATGACACATCACGTCTTGTCACATGCTTTTTCAACATGTGCCGATGGTTCCATGTACTTTCCATAGACTCGACAAAGATTTTTCTTCAAGCGAAACGCTGTGTTGATAAAGAAAGGTCAGATTTAGAAAAAAGAATTATGTATACAGGCCACTAAACTCTCGTGTTGCTTCTGTTTACAATAGTTACAAGTGTATTTATGGCAAGGTGACAACTGACAAATAGGGTGTGCATATTTTGATCTGTGCAAGTTGCAAGGGATGACAAGAAAAGTACAATGAAGTGACTGGCATCATTAAAAAAAAAATTCGCCGAGAACAGCTTGTCTTTCCCTTTATCCAACCCAGAGGGACCACATTACAAAAACAAAGATGGCTAGATGAATATTCAAATACATCTATTTTATTTTTTTATTTTTATGTTTTCTTGCTATGTACATCACTGACGGTCTTTCACTGTTTATATGTTTTAATAAATGTGACCGGTGAACTACTACTATTAATATTTATACGTATATGAGACCTCTAGGAGGCCAGGAAGGAGGACCGAGTATAATACACAAAGTTATTATGACTTGATAAAGTTCCACACAGCTTAACGTTGCCTCAGTAAAAGTTTGCTGTTTATCTTGTGAATTTTACCTCATATTTATCACATTACAGCTGCGACAGCTTTGATCAAACATTTTTGGCCTGGCAACTAAACGTACATAAAATAACGAATGTTTTATTAGATATAAAGCCTATACGAAGGTCATTAGGCTGCAGCTTTTCAGTGGTGATTTGATGCAATGAGTCCTTGATCCGAGTTATTAAAGCAACCATCCCCTCCATCGGGTCAAGGCTAATTGCCTCCAGTTCTCAGTCGCTGTGTGATCCCTACGGGTTAGTTCATCCCCATGAGCAAAAAATAATGCTGCAATATCACTTATGCACTGAGTGTCAAGAATATTTTAATCTCCAGAACAGTGATTATTATACACCTCTGACCAGTGTATATACACTTGAGATATATATATATACCTCAGTGTATATATACAGATATATATCTCTGAGTGTATACACTGAGAAACATATATTGAGTAATACCTAGTGTTGTGACATTAAATTTTAGAAATTGCTTGATGTCATGTCCCTCCAAATGCAGTATGAACTAAGATAAATCTGCGTCGCTGTAAAGATGAAGTAACAGGCGTCGGCCTTGGCAGATTACCTTAGTAAATCTGGGAATTACTTCGAAGAATAAAGACGTAATCTGCTTTGACTGTTCTAGACTTTGTCACATTCATTTCCACAGGATGTGACATAGTTCCCGTCAGGAACGAGGTATAAGTATTAACTGATCATATGGTGTTGAAAGCGAATATTCTCATCTTTGTAATTCATATTATTTGCTCAGTGTCCGAGCAAGTAAATTCCTACATGTGGCTACGAGAGCCATTAGTAATATCCTTACATATCAAATATTTAAATATAAATAAAATTTTATTTTTTAACATTTGTGAGCTAGGTTAGGTTATGCTTTGTTGGTGCGGGCATATAGCCTAACCTAACTTAATCTAAAGTAACCTAATCCACCTTAACCTAATCTATCCTAACTTATGAGCGTGGGGGACGGATTGTTATTAAATTACATTAGTGTTCGTAACTCATGAGAGTATTTAACTCATTGTGAGAGTAGTCACCCATCTTGAACTCTTTGTCAAACACTTCAGTATGTCATAAGCAGACTCGTCCCATTAATTAATAACATAATGTCAAATATGCAAACATTCTGCGCCATCCACCTGATTAGGCATGTCATCGCAGGGAGAATTGGTCTGGGACCCAGCTGTAGGGGGGGCGGCGATCCCCATTACCATCCATAAATAACCCACAAATCAATAGACTAATATAGTTATTTTTAACGGTTTTGATCTCCGAAAATTAGCCTATTCAGTTTTTGTTTTTACATCTAATATACGATAGTTGGATTTATTACACATGCTTCTAACTGGGTTTATTATGCTATTATTTTTTTCCACTGGGCTTATTCTGCTTTTTTTTTAACCGGGGTTATTCTACCCTTTTCTCATTTGGTTTATTCTGCTGTTCATTTTTTTTCCACTGGGTTTATTCTGCTCTTTTTTTCACTGGGCTTATTCTACTTTTTTTATTTTATTTATTCTACTAATTTTTTACTGGGTTTATTCTGCTCTTTTTTCACTGGGTTGATTTTTTTTTTTTTCATTGGGTTTATTCCACTTTTTTGCACTGGGTTTATTCCACTTTTTTGCACTGGGTCTATTATGCTTTTCTTTTTTTCCATAGGGCTTATTCTACTTTTTTTTCACTGTGTTATTCCGTTCTTTTTTCATTACTCTTATTTTTTGCCTTTTCTATTGAGGGAATCAAGTTATTTATTCAGTTGTATATTCAGCTCTGGGATCTCGATGAGAGCTGCCATGACGAGGTAGAAGGTGAGAAAGAGAGCTGTGAGCACAGGACACAGAATGCGACACAGAAGGTTGAGCCAGGCAGCCAGTGCTGCTCGCCGAACTGCAAGCAACGCTCCGGCATCGTTGATGTAGCGACCCACGCCCAGCACACAGGCCGGGGCGCATTTCTACACCGGGGAGACCAGAGAATAGTTAGTTTTACTATTTACTACTTTACTAGTCACCCATTACCCATCCTGTGGGAGGTAGTCCCCATACCCATCCTGGGGGAGGTAATATGGTTACTTATGCGGAGTGGTTTTTCCTCTCATATGCCATCACAAAGTGTTTTCCTGATATACTCCATCGCACAGGATGGTTGTCCTATCATATTGTATCCCACAGAATAAATTCCTTACAGGACTTAATAAAATCTGTCAGCCTGAGTTACAGTGAAAGGGTAAGAGATTTATATAGAAAGGGACATATAAATGGAATTAGAGACAGACCGCATTAGCCCTCATCATATACGTATGTAGTAAAAGTAACGGATAACTAAATCAGATATACACTAACTAGATGGAAAGATTTATTCATCTGGACCCTAGAGAGAGAGAGAAAGAGAGAGAGAGAGAGAGAGAGAGAGAGAGAGAGAGAGAGAGAGAGAGAGAGAGAGAGAGAGAGAGAGAGAGAGAGAGAGAGAGAGAAAGAGAGAAGAGAAGATTAACCTCCCTCTGTCCCTACTCATGTCACCCCTGTTCCCTCGCCTGGCACCTCCCTTTCCCCTCACTTTGCACCTCTCACCTTGCACCAGTTGAGGAAGGCGACGGTGACCACCACCAGGAAGAGGCTAATGATGCAGTACACATACCAGATGTCGACCAGCTTGAGGTAGGCTGTCTGGGGGATGTTGGAGCTCGTCTGTTGGTGGGCTCGTACGAGGCAGGCAGGGCAACGTCGGGGTCGTATCAGGATCACATTAGAGTAGCATCAGGATTGCATTAGAGTAGCATCAGTCACGTCAGGGCCATGTTAAGGGTCACATCAGAGTTACATCAGGGTAACATTAGAGTCATAATACATGCACACAGGTGTAATGTTAATGATCTGGCTGCCTTCAAGAGAGAGCTGGACAGATACCTAAAGTCAGTGCCGGATCAGCCAGGCTGTGGCTCGTACGTCGGACTGCGTGCGGCCAGCAGTAACAGCCTAGTTGATCAGGCCCTGATCCATCGGGAGGCCTGGTCATGGACCGGGCCGCGGGGGCGTTGATCCCCGGAATAACCTCCAGGTAACCTCCAGGTATGTGTATATCTTTCGGTATGTATCCACCGAAAGTAACAGTGTAATATTCACTTAGAGATATTATTTGGGTATAGAACGAGAGGTGTGTATATTTTTTTTTATATGAACCTAGAAATGTCTACCTTGTACATTCATCTTGAGGTGTTTAAGTGTACACAGAAAGGTGTAAATACACCGAGAAGTGTGTATCTAAGTGTATGTACACCTGAAGGTGTGCACCCTAGACTGCGAGGTTACTTTTATAACATGTAATAAAGTATTTTTTTTTATTTTAGCATATACATGAATTACAGCTATAACCCTTAAACTGTCCAAACAGATCTACGTTCACATGCGTAGTGCTCCAAAAGTAGATCTACTTTTTTTTACATATTTTCAAATATAACAACAAAAAATGTAGATCAAAGTTTTTTACACATTTTCAAATGTAAAAAAAAAAAGGTCTACGTTTTTTACATACTTTCAAATGTTGATAAAGCGTAGATCTACGTTTGGACAGTTTAAGGGTTAAATTACCTCGTGTAACAACCCTAAGGTGTTCAATTCATGGGCTGAATAAGACGTATGAGCAAGACTTTTACACCTACTACCTCTTGTTTACCTAGCATTCAGTGGGTACCCGAGTGCTAGTCGACTGTTGTAGGTGGCATCCTGTGGGTGGTAGTATACTTTAGATAGAGCTAGACTTTGCAATGATCTGAGATAAGACAACAACTCCTAGCCTGTAAAAGAAATTGTGTAAAATAAACTATGACTAAACTGATTTGTTATTCGTATATTTTCAGTTGCGTGAGAAAACCATCCAGCTGGTATATATTGACAAAGAGGTGTGTAAAAACTGTGTTCCGTACATTTGTTAAGTGGAGTGGAACCCTAGCCCGGGCACGCCAGGAGCCGTAACTCAACCCGCTGCAACCACAAACAAGTGAGTACTGATACCTAGCATGTGTACCCCGGTGATCCGCTACTGAACGGATGATCGTATAACTAATCCCGCGTCAGGAGGCGTATTTTCCTGACGAATGAAACTCCAATGGCACCATCTATCCAGCGGGCATCTTACCTGTGTGAAAAAGGCGGCCTCGACCAGAAGTGCTGTCAGAGCAACCATGATCCTCTCGTTGAAGTCATCCACTGGGAAGTAGAAGACGAGGTAACCAATGACCACAATGATGAAGGTAGGCACGTATGTAGAGGTGATGTAGAAGGTAGACAGGTTCTGGAAGGTTAGTTTCACCACCTGCCCGCTGTAGTTAGCCTGAAATAGGCAGATCATTTCAGATTGTATGTACGTACGTACGTATTTATTCAGGCAATGTGCGTATATATATTCGGCAAGTTCGGCCTAATAAGCCGAACTTGCCGACTACCCTAACTCCTTTGAAAATTGGTCTATATATATATATATATATATATATATATATATATATATATATATATATATATATATATATATATATATATAAATTTAGAAACCTCACCTAACGTACTTTAATTGAACGTGATTTGGTTTAGTCAAAGTCTACTAAATATATCATAGATCAGTTTAATTTTTTTATTATTACTTAAAATAAATTAGATATATATTTTTCGTTATGCTCAAAGAGAGAGAGAGAGAGTGGAGGGAGAGAAGAAGGAAGAGAGAGCTCACCTCATCGTGAGGCAACATAGCCTCATCCTTCAGGTAGTACTGAAGTAGTTTCCTCTTGCCAACGTAGGTGATACCTGGGCCCTCAGGTACCAGTGTGATGTAATCCTTCGTCAGTCCAAGCAGCACCACACCCTGTGACACACACACACACTTGGAAGCACTTAACTTGTACTCACTGGAGCGCAGGCGAGAGAGATACAATATAATCTACAGCTGGAAAATCCTAAAGGGACGGGTCCATAATCTGCTTACAGAAATCACTCCCTATGAAAGCAAAAGACTTGGCAGGCAGTGCAACATACCCCCAATGAAAAGTAGGGGCGCCATTAGTACACTAAGAGTAAACACAAAAGTGTCTGGGGCCCAGACTGTTCAACAGCCTCCCACCAGGCATAAGGGGAATTACCAATAGACCCCTGGCTGCCTTCAGGAGGGAGCTGGACAGATACCTAAAGTCAGTGCCGGATCAGTCGGGCTGTGGTTCGTACGTTGGACTACCTGCGGCCAGCAGTAATGGCCTAGTTGATCACGACCTGATCCACCGGGAGGCCTGGTCATGAACCTGGCCGCGGGGGCGTTGATCCCCAGAATACCCTCAAGGTAGACACACACACACAAGATGAAGCATATAATATTAATTAAAACATAATAATTAAACATAATTATTGACCATAAATTATTACAGTAATAAGTTATTGCGATATTATATATAAACAACAAATATTAAGTCAAAACGATTAAAAATACATTATATTAATACACGAAAATAAATTCACGAATAACTGCGTATATACAGTGTACATCACTTCTTGAAGAATTAGACACTTCTGCAACATCTGGGAATCTTTAGTCTGGAAACGTTTCACCAGCTAGTGGCTTCCTCAGTCCGGTATAGACATGAATGGTGGAAGAAGAGGAGCTTGAGATAATCAGTCCCTCAGCCTTGACTCTATGTATTCGGTCCATCAATATTGATGGACTGAGCACATCGAGTCAAGGTTGGCATCAACTGACACGTCACATTGTCCCTCCCAGGAGGGAGTGAGGGGCACCTACCAGCTTGCAGGTCTGCGTGTCGAAGGGAAAGGAGATGAGGTCGAACTGACAGGAGGTAGTGACGGTCAGCTTCTTAATTAACACCAGTGGGTTGTCTTCCCCGGCAAAGATTTCGTCTGTAGAAGAGACCACAAGTAATAAAGACCAACTAATAAAGAAGAGAAAGGCATAATACCGTGACTTGAGCAATACACATAACCCGAAGAGAGAAGCTTATGACGACGTTTCGGTCAGAATTGAACCATTTACAAGTCACACTTACATACGAGAGTGAGGGAGCCAGTATATATACGTATACTGGCTCCCTCACTTGTGTGTAATTGTAACTTGTAAATGGTCGAAGCCGGATCGAAAAGTAGTTACAACCTTCTCTCTCCTATGTGCGGGTTATTTGTACAGTGCGTTAAATAGCAGAGCGCTGGACTCGTAACGGGAGTTGCAAGTCCAGCGCTCTGCTATTTAACGAAAGGAAAACATAGGAAACATAGAGTCAGTCACTCTACACCTGCCCCTGTTCACCTGACAGTAAATAGTCACCTGGGTGTTAGTCGACTAATTTCATTGGCATCCCAGGGATAGGCAGTGAACCATAGACAAAGCTGGGTTATGAAATGAACAGAAGTTGACAACTCTTAGCCTCTAAATTTCTGAAATGTACATAAAAGTCCTAAGTATTTAATAGGAGGCATGTAAAATTATAATAAGATGGGCAGTATAAGCACATACAGATCAACAAACTAAGACTTCACTATGAAATAAATGTTAAATATTGAATATTATTTTTATTATTATTTCAATTATTATTATTATTATTAAAGAGATGCTAACGTGCAAGTTAGTGTCTGGTAAATGGCAGGTATTTTTTATTGGATCCGACGAAGGGCAGCTATAATTCCTGGACCAAGGAATTGAACCTGTGCTTCCCTTCCTGGGATCATATTTGAATGTCTCCCATTTTCCCCAGGCGATATGTGGCCCTATGGGCTTAATCCTGATTGGTTCATAAAAAATCACTGTATGAAAACGGGTTGTCAGTGCTCACCTTCCCCGAGGTTTTCGTCGTTGTCAGGCAGTGGTTGCGTGACGCGCTTGGCCACCAGGAACGACCTTCGCTCACTCACGTCGCTTGTGGTGAAGGCGTCGCCGAAGAACTCAACTTTAGGCATCCATGGTTCCTGCTCCTCGGTGAGGTGGATGGTGTTCAGGAATTCTGCTTCGTTCAGGTGATGGAACTTGATTCTGACGTCATGCCATGCAATGCGAACTTCAAGTTCACAAACAAAGTTGAAGCCGGTGAGATCAAAGGCCCGCACGGATAACATTTGAACATGGAGGTAAACGTTGATGGGAGTTGATGGGTCTCTTCTGGGCGGCGGTGTCATCTTATTGTATCCTTCAGGAATTACTAAGAAACGGCAGCTAACCTCGTCTGAACCATCAGGGCAATTGACTTCCATGTCGCAACGCTCACGCAAGCGTATGCAGGTGCCATCATCACAAGAGAACTGTTGGTCCTTGCAAGACGTCATCCTGAGGGTTACTTCTTGCTCCCCACATACATCGTTGCTGATGATCCACTTGTTGAGACCCGTTGGGTAGTGAGTCGGAGATTTCATGGTGAGCTTAGCGGTGATGGATAATTTATCATAGCGAGTTATATGCCAGTACCCAAAGTTTCCGGAAAAGGTGCTGTTCTTCGTGGGAAGATGTTTAGTGATGAAGGAATAATATGCTCCAATGAAAACAACTGTGTTATTATCTTGTAGAAGGAAATATTCCCTATCAAATTCTGATTTTCCGCAGAGTCCCCGAATTCTAACGAACGGTAGCTCTTCAAAATGACAAGCAATACAACGTTCCAAGTTGCACGGTCTGGGTACCCATTTTCCATAGGCGTAGGACACAATACTCCTGCTTCCTTTAAAAGTAACGCAGACTTCCGGTTCTTCGATAGGCTGACCACTATTCTGTTCGAAGTTTGAGTATAAAATAGGAGCGCGAGAAGCAAAGTGCTGCCAGGTCTGACTACTTTCATTACCTTTAACGCCAAGCCAGAGTATATCTCCAACTCCGTCGCTGCATCCGGTCGTATAAGATTCTGCCAGAAGGAACAGTTTCCTGTTGTCCTCCTTGCTGATCGGTACTTTCAGAGTTCCACCGAGTATACGACAAAGTAGTTCACCCTCTTGAAATAGACGAGGCTCTGGAAATATAATATCAAATTCCTCGCGTTGCTCGCATATCAACTCAGAACTCACTTGCTCAATCTCCACGTTGCGAACTTCAAATTTTCTGGTAATATTGTAGAAGTCCAAGATGGGCACAGAGCTGTTGTCCGGAGCTTGACAGGAGGTGTAGTTCTTCATCTGGTCCGTAGTGAGGATAGAGTTATAGACACGCAGATCAACAAGTGAGCCTCGTAGACTTTGGAACTCATTGAATCCTCCTCCTAGAGTGTCTTGCTCCTGACCTATATACAGCTTCCCACCGCTGTGGACCATCAGATCATTTGCCGGGACAAAAGTCTCTATGATGCCCATCTTAATGTGACCATCTTGCACCACCTCCATCTTGCGACCCACCAAGTCCATAGCCACGCAGAAGGAAGACCACAGCCTCAGTTTCACACTAACCTTCAAGTTCCTGTACCACTCATGGCGGCAACAGACAAGCATCATCTCCTGCTTGTCGTAGCTGAAACCTGTGATTACGAATATCATCGTGTGGATAAGACTTTTTTGGGGGTCTAAACAATAAGTGATCGATAATTTGATAATTGATATCAGCGAATATTATATAAAATTCTTATGGATAGATTTACCTGTTTTCGTACCTATTCCGTATATGTCCATTTCAGTAGGTGGTACCTCCTATATATATATATATATATATATATATATTATATATATATATATATATATATATATATATATATATATATATATATATACATTATTTTTTTTATTATCACACTGGCCGATTCCCACCAAGGCAGGGTGGCCCGAAAAAGAAAAACTTTCACCATCATTCGCTCCATCACTGTCTTGCCAGAAGGGTGCTTTACACTACAGTTTTTAAACTGCAACATTAACACCCCTCCTTCAGAGTGCAGGCACTGTACTTCCCATCACCAGGACTCAAGTCCGGCCTGCCGGTTTCCCTGAACCCCTTCATAAATGTTACTTTGCTCACACTCCAACAGCACGTCAAGTATTAAAAACCATTTGTCTCCATTCACTCCTATCAAACACGCTCATGCATGCCTGCTGGAAGTCCAAGCCCCTCGCACACAAAACCTCCTTTACCCCCTCTCTCCAACCTTTCCTAGGCCGACCCCTACCCCGCCTTCCTTCCACTACAGACTGATACACTCTTGAAGTCACTCTGTTTCGCTCCATTCTCTCTACATGTCCGAACCACCTCAACAACCCTTCCTCAGCCCTCTGGGCAACAGTTTTGGTAATCCCGCACCTCCTCCTAACTTCCAAACTACGAATTCTCTGCATTATATTCACACGACACATTGCCCTCAGACATGACATCTCCACTGCCTCCAGCCTTCTCCTCGCTGCAACATTCATCACCCATGCTTCACACCCATATAAGAGCGTTGGTAACACTATACTCTCATACATTCCCCTCTTTGCCTCCAAGGACAAAGTTCTTTGTCTCCACAGACTCCTAAGTGCACCACTCACCCTTTTCCCCTCATCAATTCTATGATTCACCTCATCTTTCATAGACCCATCCGCTGACACGTCCACTCCCAAATATCTGAATACATTCACCTCCTCCATACTCTCTCCCTCCAATCTGATATCCAATCTTTCATCACCTAATCTTTTTGTTATCCTCATAACCTTACTCTTTCCTGTATTCACTTTTAATTTTCTTCTTTTGCACACCCTACCAAATTCATCCACCAATCTCTGCAACTTCTCTTCAGAATCTCCCAAGAGCACAGTGTCATCAGCAAAGAGCAACTGTGACAACTCCCACTTTATGTGTGATTCTTTATCTTTTAACTCCACGCCTCTTGCCAAGACCCTCGCATTTACTTCTCTTACAACCCCATCTATAATATATTAAACAACCACGGTGACATCACACATCCTTGTCTAAGGCCTACTTTACTGGGAAATAATTTCCCTCTTTCCTACATACTCTAACTTGAGCCTCACTATCCTCGTAAAAACTCTTCACTGCTTTCAGTAACCTACCTCCTACACCATACACCTGCAACATCTGCCACATTGCCCCCCTATCCACCCTGTCATACGCCTTTTCCAAATCCATAAATGCCACAAAGACCTCTTTAGCCTTATCTAAATACTGTTCACTTATATGTTTCACTGTAAACACCTGGTCCACACACCCCCTACCTTTCCTAAAGCCTCCTTGTTCATCTGCTATCCTATTCTCCGTCTTACTCTTAATTCTTTCAATAATAACTCTACCATACACTTTACCAGGTATGCTCAACAGACTTATCCCCCTATAATTTTTGCACTATTTTTTGTCCCCTTTGCCTTTATACAAAGGAACTATGCATGCTCTCTGCCAATCCCTAGGTACCTTACCCTCTTCCATACATTTATTAAATAATTGCACCAACCACTCCAAAACTATATCCCCACCTGCTTTTAACATTTCTATCTTTATTCCATCAATCCCGGCTGCCTTACCCCCTTTCATTTTATCTACTGCCTCACGAACTTTCCCCACACTCACAACTGGCTCTTCCTCACTCCTACAAGATGTTATTCCTCCTTGCCCTATACACGAAATCACAGCTTCCCTATCTTCATCAACATTTAACAATTCCTCAGAATATTCCCTCCATCTTCTCAATACCTCTAACTCTCCATTTAATAACTCTCCTCTCCTATTTTTAACTGACAAATCCATTTGTTCTCTAGGCTTCCTTAACTTGTTAATCTCACTCCAAAACTTTTTCTTATTTTCAACAAAATTTGTTGATAACATCTCACCCACTCTCTCATTTGCTCTCTTTTTACATTGCTTCACCACTCTCTTAACCTCTCTCTTTTTCTCCATATACTCTTCCCTCCTTGCATCACTTCTACTTTGTAATATATAATATATATATATATATATATATATATATATATATATATACACGTCTCCGGAAACAGGTAAATCTATCCAAAAAAATCTCTCACCGAGGCAGGGTGACCTGAAAAAGAAACACTTTACCATTTACAATCACTCTCTTGCCAGAGGCACACAAATACGGCAGTTTAGATGTCCCCTCTAAACAGCAAATATCCCAAACCCTTCCTTAAGAGTGCAAGAACTGTACTTCCCACCTCCAGGACTCAAGTCCGGGTAACCGGTTTCCCCTGACTCCCTTCACATTTTGAAAATATAATCAAAATGACGAATAAAATATTTCGGAGGCGCAAATCATTGACACAGAAACAGAATCAGAAAAGATGTCACTAAGAATATACAAATAATACATACAAATATTTTAATATAATCTTACCAATATACAATTCGTTATCATGGTTCTCCTTGGCGTACGAGATGACAACGATCTCGTTACGGGCCTGAAGGAGGAATATCCTGAAGCAGATGGTGAGCTGGCCTAGTTCGGGTATCTCTCCCAGGTACCTGAGATAGGTGCTGATGGAGGCAGGACCATCTCGCTGGTAGGTCACCATCCCAGCTCTCCACTCTCCTCCAGCTGATGTATAGATCAAGATGGACTTCGGTGAATGCACTTGTAATATCATTGAATGGTAATGACTGCATATTGTGAATATTTTTTCTCTCTCTTCTCACTCATAGGAAGGAGGGGAGGTTAGACACTGCTTTTAACCTTCATTTGAAAAGGCTTGCTCTATTGAGGACTGAATGAGAGAAATAGAGATTGGATAACTGTGGAGCAAACTTACTTGGTTGTTGTGTGAGTGCGGAGGCGTGAAGAACAGCCCCCAGCAGGAGGTAGAGGGCGGTTACCATGGGTATGTGCAGGAGGCTTCCTCCACCGTCAGTGTCCCCGCACGCCCATCCCGCCCTCTGTCCACCCACTCTCCAGTCTCCTGTACTCACACTGATGCTGATACTTTTCTTTATAATGCTGCTTTCGATATTTATAGTGCTACTTAACTGTCTGCTAATCTTGTTTCTGTTTCGCGTGTTCCTGCTACTCGAGTTTCTGCTACTTATGCTACTCTTGCCGCTACTGTCCACTACAACTTCTTTTTCGCATACTTTAGCTCCTTGTCTCTCTTGTTCCTTACTTTCTTCCAGTAGCCTAGTTTTTTCCGCAGGATCTTCCATGAGCGTCCCTGCATTCTCCCTCTTAGTGCGCATCTGTGACCTGAGGAAAGACAATGATTATATAACTAGATGTGTTTCGGTCGCTGCGTGATCCGAGAAAGGTATCCCCGTGTTCCACAACCCCAGCCCTGCGTGCCTTAGTGCACGCGATTGGAATAGTGCAGAGTGCGGCATAAGTTTGTACTGCAGGTAAATATTAGCAGTGAAGATTTGAATTGAGTCAGGAAAGGCATCTACGAATCATCATATGGAAATTAAATTCAAAATGTTTTAAATAAAAATAGTAAATTATGACATACATTGCTCAAGTCTAATTCAAATCTTCCACAAGGGCTGTATAGCCCTTGTGGTTTAGCGCTTCTTTTTTATTATAATAATCCACTAAGAAATACCAATTTTGAAGCTAAACTGAAGAGGCATTCTTTTGTTATCTCAAGGAGACTAATACCCTAAAATGCACAATCATAGCTGGAATTCGCTCAGAAGTTGCAATATCAAGTTAGTAGTAGTTGTTGTGTTATTAGTAGTGGTGGTAGTAGTAGTATAAGTAGTAGTGATAGTAGTAGTAGTGCTAATAGTAGAGGTAGCGATAGTAGTAGTAGTGGTGGTGGTAGTAGCAGTTGGTAAAAATACATATGGGGCTGCCTGCCCAGACACCCGCTCGTCAGCCCAACAAGGTACACACGACAATCCCCCACCCCCCATACGAGGGAGGTTCCTTGTTGCCGGCGAGGGGCTCTTGATCTAAGGAAATGAACGAAGCATTAATGCCTTCCAATGTCAGGGCGCTGTTTGACCCTCCTACAGGTTGAGCACTCCATTGTGAATGTGATACCTCCCCCCCCGCGCACTTTACCACAACCATCTCTGTATTCACCGAGTTTGTGTTCGCAGGGGTCGAGTCTCCGCTCGCCTCTTAAGCCATGGTCGTCGGCAACACTGGTTTCTGGCCTCGTTGGGCCCTGTCGTACCTACTCTTGATGCGCTGTATGGAATTTGCCTCTCCCGCTTCGTCATTTACCACCCTGAGAATGAAAAAAAAATCCTAACATCCCAGTCGCTCGTGTGTGTGTGTATGTACTCACCTATTTGTACTCACCTATTTGTGGTTGCAGGGGTCGAGTCTTAGCTCCTGGCCCCGCCTCTTCACCGGTTGCTACTGGGCCCTCTCTCTCCCCGCTCCATGAGCTTTATCAAACCTCGTCTTAAAACTGTGTATGGTTCCTGCCTCCACTACGTCATTTTCTAGGCTATTCCACTGCCTTACAACTCTATGACTGAAGAAATACTTCCTAATATCTCTCTGACTCATTTGTGTCTTCAACTTCCAATTGTGGCCTCTTGTTTCTGTGTCCCCTCCCTGGAACATCCTGTCTTTGTCCACCTTGTCTATTCCACGCAGTATTTTATATGTCGTTATCATATCTCCCCTGACCCTCCTGTCCTCCAGTGTCGTCAGGCCGATTTCCCTTAATCTTTTCTTCATAGGACATTCCCCTTAGCTCTGGAACTAACCTTGTGGCAAACCTTTGTACTTTCTCTAGTTTCTTGACGTGCTTTATCAAGTGCGGGTTCCAAACAGGTGCTGCATACTCCAGTATGGGCCTGACATACACGGTGTACAGTGTCTTGAACGATTCCTTACTAAGGTGTCGGAATGCTGTTCTCAGGTTTGCCAGGCGCCCATATGCTGCAGCAGTTATCTGATTGATGTGTGCTTCCGGAGACATGCTCGGTGTTATACTCACCCCAAGATCTTTCTCCTTGAGTGAGGTTTGCAGTCTTTGGCCACCTAGCCTATACTCTGTCTGTGGTCTTCTGTGCCCTTCCCCTATCTTCATGACTTTGCATTTGGCAGGATTAAATTCGAGAAGCCATTTGCTGGACAGGTGTCCAGTCTGTCCAGGTCTCTTTGAAGTCCTGCCTGATCCTCATCAGATTTAATTCTCCTCATTAACTTCACATCATCTGCAAACAGGGACACTTCTGAGTCTAACCCTTCCATCATGTCGTTCACATATACCAAAAATAGCACTGGTCCTAGGACCGACCCCTGTGGGACCCCGCTCGTCACAGGTGCCCACTGTGATACATCATTACGTACCATGACTCGTTGTTGCCTCCCTGTCAGGTATTCTCTGATCCATTGCAGTGCCCTTCCTGTTATATGTGCCTGATGCTCTAGCTTCTGCACTAATCTCTTGTGAGGAACTGTGTCAAAGGCCTTCTTGCAGTCCAAGAAGATGCAATCAACCCACCCCTCTCTCTCGTGTCTTACTTCTGTTATTTTATCATAAAACTCCAGAAGGTTTGTGACACAGGATTTGCCTTCCGTGAATCCGTGCTGGTTGGCATTTATACTCTTGTTCAGTTCCAGGTGCTCCACCACTCTCCTCCTGATAATCTTCTCCATAATTTTGCATACTATACACGTCAATGACACAGGTCTATAGTTTAGTGCCTCTTTTCTGTCTCCTTTTTTAAAAATGGGAACTACATTTGCCGTCTTCCATACCTCAGGTAGTTGCCCAGTTTCCAGGGACGTGTTGAAGATTGTGGTAAGTGGCATGCACAACATATCTGCTCCCTCTCTAAGGACCCACGGGGAGATGTTGTCCGGTCCCATTGCCTTTGAGGTATCGATGTCCCTTAGCAGTTTCTTCACCTCCTCATCTGTATGTATGTCGTCCAACACTTGTTGGTGTATTCCTTGCTGGTGTCCCATCTGGTCTGTCCCCCAGAGTCCTTCCTGTCTCTACTGTAAATACTTCCTTAAATCTCGTGTTGAGCTCCTCACATACCTCTTGATCGTTTCTTGTGAGTTCTCCACCTTCTTTCCTCAGCCTTATCACCTGGTCCTTGACTGTTGTCTTCCTCCTAATGTGGCTATACAGCAGTTTCGGGTCAGATTTGACTTTCGATGCTATGTCGTTTTCATACTGTCGCTGGGCCTCCCTCCTTATCTGTGCATACTCGTTTCTGGCTCTTCTACTAATCTCCTTGTTTTCCTGGGTCCTATGCCTCCTGCACCTTTTCCATTCTCTGTTGCACTTAGTTTTTGCCTCCCTACACCTTCGGGTAAACCAAGGACTCGTTTTGGTCTTCCTATTATTTCTGTTTCCCTTGGGAACAAAACTTTCCTCTGCCTCCTTGCACTTTGTTGCCACATATTCCATCATCTCGTTTACTGATTTTCCTACCATTTCTCTGTCCCACTGAACCTCCTGCAGGAAGTTTCTCATACCTGTGTAGTCCCCCTTTTATAGTTTGGCCTGTCCCCTTCAGTTCCTGTTACCTTCTCCACTTGTAACTCTACTATATAATCAAAACTCAGAACCACGTGATCGCTAGTTCCAAGGGGCCTCTCGTAAGTGATGTCTTCAATGTCTGAACTGCTCAGGGTGAACACAAGATCCAGTCTTGCTGGCTCATCCTCCCCTCTCTCTCTGGTTGTGTCCCTGACATGTTGATGCATGAGGTTTTCAAGTACCACATCCATCATCTTGGCTCTCCATGTTTCGGGACCCCCATGTGGCTCCAAGTTTTCCCAGTCGATCTCCCTGTGGTTGAAATCGCCATTACCAGTAACTTTGCTCTGCTCGAGTGAGCTTTCTTGCCACCTCAGCCAGTGTGTCCACCATCACCCTGTTGTTTTCTTCATACTCCTCTCTTGGCCTCCTGCAGTTCTGTGGTGGGTTATACATCACTCCAATGACTACTTTATGTTCTCTGGACTGAATTGTACCTACAATGTAGTCTCTTTCTCCAATCATGTCCATGCCTTCCATTTCCTCAAATCCCCATCGGTGTTTTATGAGCAGTGCAACCCCTCCTCCCCCTCTACTCCTTCTATCTTTCCTCAGGATCTGATATCCCGTTGGGAAGATTGTGTCTGTTATTGTCTCAGCGAGTTTTGTTTCTGTGACTGCTATGATGTCTGGGGATTTTTCACTGATTCTTTCGTTCCACTCCTCATGTTTATTCATTATTCCATCCACGTTTGTGTACCAAACTTTCAGTTTCTTTTCTATCATTGTGGTCATGCAAGAATATTGGGGTTGGGGGAGCGAGAGCCTTGGTGGGGGCCTATATGGGGCTGTGGTGTTGGTGGGGTTTGTGATGATGGGGGTGGGGTCAGAATGCCCATAAGGGACAGCTGTTGGGGTGAGGTTTTTGATATGGGGGTTGGTGGCAGAGGGAACAGTGAGTGGGTTGTAGTATAGGTTGCTCAGTTGCGTTGGGAATGTCGCGGTTGGAGTCTTTTGGTGGGAGGTTCTGTGGGGTGTGTTTTCCCTTCCTCCTGTGTCTGGGTCCTGCTCATTTTCGTCATTGCCTCTCGTTCCTCCTTGCATCTCTGTACCCTCTCTTTCAGTGTAGTCCTTTCTTCTTGTGTTCTGTCGCGGTCGAGGTGTGTGTGTGTGTGTGTGTGTGTGTGTGTGTGTGTGTGTTAGTTACCATTTGGTCCTAGGCACATGTCGATTAGACACTGTGTGTGTGTGTGTGTGTGTGTGTGTACTCACCTATTTGTACTCACCTATTTGTGTTTGCAGGGGTCGAGTCCTAGCTCCTGGCCCCGCCTCTTCACGGTTGCTACTAGGCCCTCTCTCTCCCGCTCCATGAGCTTTATCAAACCTCGTCTTAAAACTGTGTATGGTTCCTGCTCCACTACGTCATTTTCTAGGCTATTCCACTGCCTTAAACTCTATGACTGAAGAAATACTTCCTACTATCTTCTGATCATTTGTGTCTTCAACTTCCAATGGTGGCCTCTTGTTTCTGTGTCCCCATCCCTGGAAGCTTGTGTTCCTTGTCAGGGCTTGTCATATTCCACGAGTATTTTATATGTTCGTTTCATGTCCCGTTGACCTCTGTTTCTCCAGGTTCGTCAGGCGTTTCCCTTAATTTTCTCTCATTTTCGCATTGCCCCTTAGCTCTGGATACTAACCTTGTTGCAACCTTTGTACTTTCTCTCATGTTTTCTTGACGTGTGTGTTGTAGGTGCGTGGTTCAAAGGTGCTGTCATACTCCAGTATGGTCCTG